GAGAGTTTCTCAGAATATCTTTTTGCCAAACAGGCTGGACAGAAGTCACCCATGTGTTATTTGTGTGTGTGTACATATTCACAGAGAAATTTTATTAAATTTTATAAAATTAGTAAATTTTATATACTAAAACTATGCCTTTGCATGATAATCATCATACTGAGGATAGAGTTTAACCTCTGGAAGGCAGAAAGGGAAACAGGATTAGAGAGGGATACACAGAGGCTTCAAATTTATTTGTTGTATTTTATTTCTTAGAAAAATGTTAAGATTTTATCAAGCTGGGTGATTGTAAACCAGCTGTCTATCATTTTACCTTAATACTTTATGGTAAATTAAAAATATTTTGTAAGTGGGGAAAGGAAGCAAGGAAGGGACCAGGCAAGGGACAAGAGCAGAGGAGGCCAGGTGACCCCCAGAGGTAACGGGAGGCCCCCTGCCACCACCAGACACCAGACCTTGCTTCCCCGTTTCTGCCACTGTCCCTAGAAACTCTACATTGACTCCAGCACTGTTGCTGCCCACAACCAGAATGGAGTCTCTACAGTCCCCAGATCTCTGCATCAACACCTCCCAGGTCCTTTCAGGGGCCTCCTAGGTTGTGCATCTCACTCCAGATGCAAGAGGGATGAGAAGGGAGGCATCTTGCATTTTCACATTCTGTATTGGGAGGCTGGCCCTGACTCAGAAGGTAGAGAGTTTCTCAGGCACAGAGAGGGGATGGAGGTTCAAATAACAGCCAAAAAAAGTAAGAACCCAGTGTCAGCTGTGCCTAGGAAGGGAGAGCTGTCTCTACCAGACCCTGGGCCGGGTCCTGTACTGCAGCACTTCCCTCCACCCCACCCCATCCTCACCCCCTGACTCCCAGAGGGATGAATGTCCTCACCCCAGTTTTATGGACAACAAGGAATTGGACTTGCCCCACATCACAGGGTAAGCCAGAGGGAAAGCAAAGATTGAAATTCACATCTCCTTGACTCCAACCTGTTACTGATGTTTTTCAGACAAAATTAAGAAGAACTTCCCGTATAACCTTTCATCTCCTCCCTGTTGTTCCACCATTACCAACATGTATGGTTCCCTCTAGGGCATGTTTCATCCTTGCCATGAGGGTAAGGCCAAAGAATAGGTGATCTTTTTCTATGTTGTGCAACAGCAAAATAATTTGATACAGTGTTTGGTTTTAATGAAGCCCATATAGTAACAGATTAGCCCCGACATTGCCCCTGAAGAAAGACCCATATAAGAGCGAGCATCTTCCCAGAGGGTGGGGGGCTGCAGGAGCTGTGACTGGGTTGGGTGTGGGGGAATGCCTTATTTGAGTTTTTGGGGGCTCTTCAGGTCATTCTGGGTAAACATCTGCCTCAACAGTTTACAAATAAGTAAGACCAAAGATCTTGAGCTATAAATATAGGAAAGGGCAGGGCCAGGGTATAGATGTGCCTAAACAGAATGTGTTTTGGTGCCAAAGACATGGATTATATGCTGAGCATCCTGAGCCTTCTTCAAACCATCTGGCTGACTGTCTGCACAAGACCCAGAAACTGATCACATTTTCTGAAAATTAAAATGCAATAAGAGGTATCTTTCATTTCAATCTCCTATCTTTGTATAGCAGATACAACCTCTGATGACAAATGCCAGTGAATTGAATTTTGTTTTTCCCATAATAGTTGCATCTATCAGCAAACTAATGTATTAGTTACGAGGGGTGAAAATAAGCATAATGCCTGATCCTGAACTTTAAATTGCCTAAGTGCCGCCAAATGCCTTTTGATTGAATTGCACATTTGTTTTCCTTTTCTTTTTTCCTTCTTCTTTTTGTTAAATCTCCATTTATCTGTTATGATCATGGTTTATTAGAGGGCTGCTTTGGAGCACACTAAATTGAGAGAGCCATCATTTAATGCATTGTGAATCTCACCCTCACGCTCTTAGCATTCATCCCAAAGCCTTTAGCATTTGTCTCCTCCAAACCTTGTCTAGGATGCATCTTCTTCCAATTCATTTTTTAAAGCACATATTCAGAGCCTAGTGTCTATTCAGGAATGGGGGCTTTTGTTCAGTGCATGGAGCACAGTAATGAAAATAGATATCACTTGAGTACTTTCAGGGTGCCTGGCATTATATATATATATATATTATATCTAATCCTCACATCATCTGAGAAAGGGAGATATTATCCCCATTAAACTGATTATACAACAGGGTCTTAAGGAAGATGGTGGCCTGGATGGGAGGGTGAGAGAAAGAGAAGGATAAACATTAAATCCTGGAATTCAGCCTAAGCACAAGGTGGATGGTTTTGCCTTTTAGAGCTGGAGGCCCCGGGGACAAGGGGCTTTTACTATGAGACGATGATCAAAGGTTGGCTTAGAAATCTCTGAATTTGAGAGGAGTATTTGAAGGCCAAGTGGAAATGTCAGTTACAGAGTTGATGGTTTTAAGGTTGGAACAGTTCAGTGAGAAAGAGATCGATGAATATTTGGGCTAGCCGTGGAATCAGTACTCTTAGGTAACTCCATGTCAACCAGCTGGCAAGAGGCTGAGCTAAGATTATGGCCCCCCATAATCTTTCTGGCCTTAGTGACTACAAAGCGCTGCTTCCCCACACTATCTCTAACACCCCACTGCTGAGTCCAGGGCAGGGGTCATATTCACATTCAGTCACCCTTGCTGGGGCCTCTAGGCTGGAAAATAACTATGAATGTTATAATTGAGTAAGAGGCTAAATTCATCAAAGCGACATACATGCTTCCATGCAACCTTCTGTGTCCACGTAAGCGCAATAGAAGATTTGAAGTGAGAACTCCCCCAGGAGAGGTCTCTTCTCCTCGCCTTAAATCAGAATTACCATAGGAGTTGCTGTCACACTGTCCGCTCAGAGCTCAGATTCATCTCAGGGTTCCCACCGGTGTTCTCGCTCTTCTGCCTGCAGTCTAAGACTCTGAAATCTGGTGCTCATAATGCTGTTTCATCTCCTTTCCTTTGAATTCTGTCCTGACCAGCTCAGTTCAGAAAACATTTATTTTCTCTCTGATGGAGAGAACCAAGAGTTTATGTTTTATGTCCTAAAACCAAGAGCAAGATGCATGATCTGACCAAGAGCCCGACTCTGGGGTGTGATTTTAATTACATGATGAGGAAGAAGGCTACATTACATCATTTACAGTTGGACAGTAAATAAGCCACCTGTAAGGAAATCAGCTGCACCCTGAGTCTGCCCCTGTCTGGCAATAAATATGGATTCTGGACATAGCTGTGCTTTCAGGTTCCCGCTGGTGTATGTTGTGGGCCATGAGCAGTCACGGGGCTTATTCTTAGGGAAGAGGCGAGAGGTCCAGCTATGAGATGTTGTAGGAGGATAAAATTAGGAGTTAGAAGGAAGCTAAAGCCTGAACATACAGCACTTGAAGAAGACCCACTTATTAAAAATTTTTAATGCAGAAGGATCAGTTAATGAAGCAGGAATGATAAGGTTGGCTTATCTGTTAGCCATTTTCAGGCTAATAGTGGACTGATAACCTGTCACCAGGAATTTTAATATAATGCCGTGATTTTAGGGGCAGAGCGACATGGGGCCTGGAGATGGGTGATCCTATCCCTGACTGGGAGAATCGGGACACACCTGGGATTTTAGCTTAGTGAAAAAAAAAAACCAAGGGATTTCAGCTTAGTTAAAAATACTGGTTCTTCCAACAAATTCTCTGGAATTCTTACCCTGTCTCCAAATAACTTGTCAGATTGTCAAAAGAATCCTCTCATGTCATCTTTAGGTCTAATATCCTTTGGTGGTGATTCTTTATCTTTAGAGCAAAAAGCCAAGCTTTAGCGTGGAATTTCAGATCCTTACCAACCTGGCCTCATGTCCCCCAATTCAGGACTCCCATCAACCCCCCTTGGCTGTTTCGTAGGAGTTGATGTCTCACTTGACGCCCCCTGCTCCCCGTCTTTGCTGACTCTACCAGAGGCATTTTTGCCCCCAGTTCTCTGCATGTACAACTCAGAGTCCCCTCATCCTTCTGTGCACCTGACCCTATACTGCATGTGCTCCACAGCGCCCCCAGCAACTGAAGTCAGGAAGCTTGTCTTGCATCCTTGGACCACCAGGGAGTAACACAATGGCCATGTGAGCAAATGATATTCTTACCTCCAGCCCTGGAAGTGTTGGTCCCCCAGTAGGTGTGTACACTGGGGAGTTATACCTTCCCCCAGGGCACTGAAAGAGTATCCCAGACTTCTGGCTTCTCTTAGGAGCCTGGCTCAAACAGGCAGGGGCTGGGCTGGTTGGAATTTAAAGGAATTTATCTTGAAGGATTGAGATGACAGACAATTCTTGTCCAATAATTCTAGCTGAGGAGGTGACTGTTGGCCTGTCTTTGCCAGATCTTCCAGGGGAAGAGTTTCATAAGCTCAGAGGGTCTGGGTACTTGGCTCATGTGACTGTGTAGGTAGAGGAAGACAGCCAAGGGACCCAAGGGACGCGAGTGTATCCAGTGAAATACTAATCGTGCTCCAACCTCGATTCCAGATCCTTCACTAAAAAGTTTTGGTAAATGAAAGCAGAACAGCCTAGCCATCTGTCTCCTCAGGAACAAAGCCTCATGCCAATCCTTGGTTTATTTTCATTTCACACCATTTGTTATCACACACCTGCTCTGTGCCAGACACTCCCTAGGGCTGCCCCTCTGTTACCTCCTTGCCGCCACATGACACACCAGGGAGTCCTGAGTCTACCCTGGACACTAGGCCCAGCCTGAGGACCTGAGAGCTGACTCTGTCCTCACCACAGAGAAAAGGAACGGTGCCCACTGAGGGCTGATGATGCCCAGGAAGAGGATGGGGTGGATGCTCAAGAGAGCAGACAGACAAGGATTCAGAGTCAAATGCCCACCGTACCTGCAAAGATCGAGCTTTTTCTATAATATCCTTCCTGTGGCTAGACCTGACCCTGGTCTGGATCCTTTTATGTATAACTCCTCCTTTTTCCACCCTTGCAGCCACTCTGAAGATGCCCATTTACAGAGCAAGAGGAATGGAAAGTTACAGTAACTTGCCCCAAATCCCATGGCTTAGCAAATGCTGGCCCTGGAATTCAACCCTGGATCTGCCTGCTCAGAGTTCAAGTCCAGCTGCCATGGTAAGAGGGGGGCCTGTGGGGGCTGGGAGAAACTTCATCCTTGGAGGCATTGTGGACCTTGGAGGAGCTCCTTAACCCCATCCAACCTGTCCTCAGATTCCAGAGGCAGATGGATCCCAGACCCCTGCTCACAGGATTATTGGGAGTTTTTTAGGGACTAATGCTCAGCCTGTGCAGAGCACACAATAGGACCTCAAGGAAGCTTACCTGCTGTAATTACTCTTTTCATTTTAACAAGTCTGTTCAACCACTCCCCTGGCCCTTGCTTGGATTCTGGGGTGTAGGAAGAGTAGGAACATCTTCCTCATGTCGTGAGGTGACACCTGTGATTGGCAGTTTTTCTTGGTTCCTCACGAGCATGGATCCAGCAAGAGTAGCAGCTCATTACCTACATGCAGAGCTGCCCAGCTGGCCACTGGCAGCTCCCAGGCCTCCCAGCTGGCTTAGGGCTGGCTGGCAACCATGGAGGCTAGTCTGTGGAGTGTGCTGGGCTTGTGCTTCCTGAAAGCCCCATCTCATGGAGAGGCGGGCAGGGTCCTCTGCCTAACTTCCCATGGGCTACTGAGTTGGGGAAGTTTCTACCACTGGATGGAATACAGCCTCTAATGTAAGTCTCTGGGCTTTCTTTGTCTCTAATAGCTAATGAATGTCACTCTGGGCACAGAAAGTGTCCTGCTTCCTCAACAGTTAGTACTTAGAAAAATGAGTTGCTAAGTTCACAATTGTCAAATGTGAACTGGGAAAACCCATACCAGGTTTGGTTAAAAAGACAGAACGCACCCGCCCCCCGCCACCACCAAAAAAAGACAGGACCCTGCTAGAGGGTCTGGTGCCCTGCAGGTGGACACATTTTCTCATCAGATTCCTTTACTTGGAGACAGGTCACTTGCTGCCGCCCCAGAGCCTTCCGCAGGGAGAGGGCAGACGGTGACCCAATCCACGCAGATACCAGCAATATGGACCCTTGTGGGTTGGGAGTCAGAACAAGCAGGATTCCTTCCGACCTAATTGTCTTCACTGATGTGTAGCTTTGGCAAATCTCTACATACTCATGTGTCTCGATTTCCTCATTTGTAAGTGGGGATGATAATGCCTCCATACGGGGCATTCACACATGCATAAGCACCAGATAAATGGTGTCTGGGCTGTAATTGTTACTCCCGAAAAATGCTTTAGTTATTTTTTTTATTGTGATAAAATATACACTCCATAAAACTGACCATTTTACCCATTTTTAGGTGGCATTTTTAAAGTTCAGTGACATTAAGTACATTCGTATCATTGTGCAGCCATCGCTACCATCCATCTCCAGAACTTTTTCATCTTCTCAAACTGTAACACTGTTCCTGTTCAACGTTAAATCCCCTCCCAGACCCCAACAACCACTCTTCTAATTTCTGCTCTATGTATTTCAGTCTTCTAGGGATCTTATGTAGGTGGAATCATACAGTATTTATTCTTTTGTGTCTGGATTACTTCACCTAGGTTAATGTCTGAAAGGCTCATCCACATTGTAGCAAGTGTCAGAACTTCCTGCCTTTTTTTTATAATTAAGGTATCATTGATATACAATCTTTAAGGGTTTCACATGAGCAACACTGTGGTTATTATATTCACCCATATTATCAATGTACCCCCCACGCACACCAGGGCAGTCACTGTCCATCAGTGTAGTAAGATGCTGTAGAGTCACTATTTCTCTGTGCTATACTGCCTTCCCCCTGACCCCTGTACATTATGTGTGTTAATCATAATGCCCCTTAATACCTCTCTCCTTCCCTCCCCACCCACCCTCACTACCTCCTTTCCTTTGGTAACCGCTAGTTCCTTCTTGGAGTCTGTGAGTCTGCTGCTGTTTTGTTCCTTCAGTTTTGCTTTGTTGTTTTACTCCACAAATGAGTGAAGTCATTTGGTACTTGTCTTTCTCCACCTGGCTAATTTCACTGAGCATAATACCCTCTAGCTCCATCCATGTTCTTGCAAATGGTAGGATTTGTTTTCTTCTTATGGCTGAATAATATTCCATTATGTTTATGAACCACCTCTTCTTTACCCACTCATCTATTGATGAAACTTAGGTTGCTTCCATATCTTGGCTATTGTAAATAGTGCTGCAATAAACTTGGGGGGTGCATCTGTCTTGTTGAACCTTGGATCTTGTATTATTTGGGTAAATTCCTAAAAGTGGATGAAATTCTTGGATCAAATGGTATTTCTATTTTTAGTTTTTTGAGGAACTTCCATATTGCTTTCCATAATAGTTGAACTAATTTACATTCCCACCACCAGTGTAGAAGGGTTCTCCTCTCTCCTCTTCCTCACCAGCATTTGTTGTTCCTTGTCTTTTGGATGTTGGCCATCCTAACTGGTGTGAGGTGATATCTCATTGTGGTTTTAATTTGCATTTCCCTGATAATTAGTGATGTGGAGTGTCTTTTCCTTTGCCTGTTGGCCTTCTGAATTTCTTCTTTGGAGAAGTGTCTGTTCAGATCCTCTGCCCATTTTTTAACCAGGTTATTTGATTTTTAGGTGTTGAGGCATATGAGTTCTTTATATATTTTGGATGTTAACCCCTTATAAGATATGTCATTTACGAATATGTTCTCTCATACTGTAGGATGCCTTTTTGTTCTGCTGATGGTGTCCTTTGCTGTACAGAAGCTTTTTAGTTTGATGTAGTTCCATTCATTCACTTTTGCTTTTGTTTCCCATGCCCAAGGGGATGTGTTCAGGAAAAAATTGCTCATGTTTATGTTCAAGAGATTTGTGCCTATGTTTTCATCTAAGAGTTTTATGGTTTCATGACTTACATTCAGGTCTTTGATCTATTTCAAGTTTACTTTTGTGTATGGAGTTAGACAATAATCCATTTTCATTCTCTTACATGTAGCTGTGCAGTTTTGCCAACACCAGTTGTTGAAGATGCTATCATTTCCCCATTGTATATCCATGGCTTCTTTATTGTACATGAATTGACTATATATGCTTGGGATTATATCTGGGCTCTCTATTCTGTTCCATTGATCTATGGGTCTGTTCTTGTTCCAGTACCAAATTGCCTTGATTACTGTGACTTTGTAGTAGAGCTTGAGGTTGGCAAGTGTAATCCACCCCCCACCCCCACTTTATTCTTCCTTCTCAGGATTGCTTTGGCTATTTGGGGTCTTTTGTGGTTCCATATGAATTTTAGAATGATTTTCTCTAGTTCATTGAAGAATGCTGTTATTTTGATAGGAATTGCATTGAATCTGTAGATTGCTTTAGGCAGTATGGCCATTTTGACAGTATTAATTCTCCCTATCCATGAGCATGGGATGTATTTCCATTTATTGGTATCTTCTTTAATTTCTCTCAAGAGTGTCTTGTAGTTTTCAGAGTATAGGTCTTTCACCTCTTTGGTTAGGATTATTTCTAGGTATTTTATTCTTTTTGATGCAATTGTGAATGGAATTGCTTTCCTGATTTCTCTTTCTGCTAGTTCATTATTAGTATATAGGAATGCCACAGATTTCTGTGTATTAATTTTGTATCCTGCAACTATGATGAATTCAGTTATTCTAGTAGTGTTGGGGTGGATTCTTAAGGTTTTTTATGTACAACATCATGTCATCTGCAAACAGTGACAGTTTGACTTCTTCCTTACCAATCTAGATGCCTTTTATTTCTTTGTGTTGTCTGAGTGCCATGACTAGGAACTCTTGTACTATGTTGAATTTGTTCTTCATTTTCTAGTTTCATTAGTTGTGAGTTTAAACTGTTCATTTGGGATTGTTGTTCTTTCTTGAGGTAGGCCTATATTGCTATATACTTTCCTCTTAGAATTGCATTCACTGCATCCCACAGATTTTGGGGTATTGAGTTGTTGTTTTCATTTGTCTCCATATATTGCTTAATCTCTGTTTTTATTTGGTCATTGACCCATTGACTGTTTAGGAGCATGTTGTTAAGCCTGCATGTGTTTGTGGGTTTTTTTGTTTTCTTTGCATAATTTATTTCTAGTTTCATACCTTTGTGGTCTGAGAAGCTTGGAACAATTTCGATCATTTTGAATTTACTGATGCTCTTTTTGTGTCCTAGTATATGATCTGTTCTGGAAAACGTTCCATGTGCAATTTAGAAGAATGTCTATCCTACTGCTTTTGGGTGGAGTGTTCTGTTCTAACAGATGTCTTTTAGGTCCATCTGTTCTAATATGTTGTTCTTTGCCTCTGTGTCCTTACTTATTTTTTGTCTGGTTGATCTGTCCTTTGGAGTGAGTGGTGTGTTGAAGTCTCCTAAAATGAATGTTTTGCATTCAATTTCCCCCATTAATTCTGTTCATATTTGTTTCACATAATTAGGTACTCCTATGTTGAGTGCCTAGATATTTATGATGGTTATGCCCTCTTGTTGGACTTACTCCTTTATTATTATGTATGTCCTTCTGTGTCTCTTGTTGCTTTCCTTGTTTTGAAGTCAATTTTGTCTGATACAAGTATTGCAACTCCTGCTTTTTTCTCCCTATTATTTGCATGAAATATCTTCTTCCATCCATTCACTTTTAGTCTGTGTATGTCCTTGGGGTTGAAGTGAGGTTCTTGTAGGCAGCATATAGATGGGTCCTGTTTTTTTATCCATTCTGTCACTCTATGTCTTTTGATTGGTGCATTCAGTCCATTTACATTTAGGGTGATTGTCAATAGGTATGTACTTCCTGCTATTTCAGGCTTTAGATTCATGGCTACCAAAGGTTCAAGGGTAACAGTCTATTTTAACTCACTTATTACACTATTTCAAACACAATCTAAATGTTCTTTTTTTTTCTCCCTTCTTTTTCTTCTTCTTCCACTCTTTATATATTTGGTGTCATATTCTGTAATCTTTGTGTTTCCCTTGACTGACTTTGTGGGTGGTTGATTTAATTTTGCATTTGCTTAGTAATTAATTTGTTTACTTCCTTTGCTGTGGTTTTGTTTTCTCTGGTGACAGTTATTTAGCCTTAGGAGCACTTCCATCTATAG